CTTATGGGTATTGTTTGGAATACCAACACGTACCTCAATCTCATCCGATCCGCTCAAGTAGTGGGAGACATTTCAGCCGTGGAGAAGTATCTAAGTAAAATGCGAGATGACGGAATTGTTGTGGGCATTACACACCTGTCCTGGGCTATTCAAGCACATGCACAAAGTATTATCCGTCTCGACTATGCTGCGATGAGGGAGAAGTCTGAAGACCCTCTTCCTATATGGCTTGAGCACCTTGAAACATGTTTTGGCATTTACGAATTGGTTGTCCGACGTGGATGGACGATGCAATTGCCGTTTGTCAATGCGCTTCTTCGCTTGTGTTGCCAGACTACAATGTTGGCCATGGAGCACTCGCCAGACCAAACAACGACGATTGGGCGATTTGAAGAGCAGTCTAACAAGATATGGAACCAAACATTTGAAGAATGGCATCTTAAAAAGGACGTTTACAGCTATGAATGCTATATTGCCCTTTTGGCGCATCAACAGCGTATTGATGAGGCAGAAAAACTTTTTCAAGAAATGGTACTAAAGGAAGATTTGACCCCTTCTAAAAGGACGTACGATTGCCTCATTTTTATGCACCTGTCGTCCGGTGAGGAGGGAGGAACAGCAAGGGCCCTTCGGTACTTGGAGGCCATGGAGCGCGCTGGCATTCAAATTAGACCGTCGCTCCTGAAGAAGATTGTTCGCGTAAATAATGCCGCAGGTTACAAACGCGATATGAAGCGGCGTGCGCGGCGCATCATGCAGGCTAGAGAAGAGTACTTTGCAAGAAAGGAGCAGAACATTGGTTTTAATGAGGACGCACCTTCATCGTCAGTATCGTCAAAAGCGGATGTTGATTCAGAAGGTAATCCTGTTCTTACACCTCTACCGATTTCGGCGTCTTCCACACTTGCCTGGTGGGAACAATGGAAAAGGGAGACAGCGAGCAAACATGAGCTGTTTGCTGAGGAGAACACAGATGGCACTCCAAAAGGCGAGACTTTTGATGAGAAAAATGAAGCACTAAGGCAGCTTGGAATAAACTCTGCATTTCCGACCAAGGATCATCTCCCGCGTCTCGACAGACAAAAGATACTGCCTCAGATTCGTTCAGAAGAAGGGGAAATGGCTGGCAGCCTTTGGGCAATGGACGGTGGAGAGTTTTCGTACCCGAAGGACGGTGGAGGGCCGCAGGGGTGGGGTATACGACTTTGGCGTGAGCGACAAGTCGTCAAGCAGGAGTATCAAAAAGTTATTGATGGATCCCAGCCAGTGCCGCAGCTCTCAGCCATTGGAAATGCAGTTCGAACGACTAGCACCCAGTTGGAAATTGAGAAGAGTGGCGCACGCACACCAGGGGAACTATCGGACCATCATCAATTTCCGCATCATTGCTTTGATAGCGGGGCGTTAAAACCACCGTTGGAGACGGCAGCGCCCGTTCCTCTTTCTGGAGAACTGGTTTGGCAAGGAGAGTCCCGTGACAATTTGGCACCTTACAAGTCTGATGAGGAAATAGCTCTAGAAAACGACAATACATTCTTCTCGGACTTGTCTGAAGAGGCCGAAAAGAAGATGGACGCCTCAGTGATGGCCATTCAGAAGAGGGAGGAGAATGCACTGGAGATCAAAGGAAAAGGTGTGACCCGACGCTCCAAGTACGATTATCTGGAAAAATGGCGAGAGATGTACCGTCATGGTACTCTTGAGGTTCCTGAAGGACCGACGTTGCGTTTTGGCCGTAGTCCAGACGATCACAAGGATACAATGGCAGCTCTGGTACGTGAATGGTATTTGAGAAACAGAAAAACTCCGGCTACTTTAGAGGACCTTCAACGGTGGGAGAGCGATTCACAACGAGAGAAGGAGGCCTCCATCTCAAGAAAGGCCCTTAAAAAAAGAAACCGGATAAGGAGTCATCACAAAGGGGAGTAATAAAATATAAATACACATATAGAACAACATGAGGTTTATGCGAGGAGGGAAAAATATTTAAAAAAAATAAATAAATTTTGCGGGGATTCTTTGTTTAATTTATCTAGTAGTATGGGGCTTAAGTTCTTTGGCCTTTCTTTTATTTTATTTTCCTTTGAGTTCAAGAATTAAACATGCGGGAATCCACTAATAAGGCTGAGGATGTGGCGGCCGCAGGGGCTTCATTACTTGCTCGATATCCTCCACGGAAAGGCAGGATGATCCTCGATAACATTGTGACACTCTGTAAACATAGAGATGCGGAGGCTGTTTTAGACATAATCTACAGAGAAGTAAGCCCAGTGGATACTCCATGGCCTGTTCTACAGTGTCCATCTGCGGCGACGCAATGGCTTTCTGCAACTCCTCATTATTTTATAGCATTTGAGTATAACCGAATGGGAGACGGTTATCGTTGTCCACTCTGTAATAAATACGTTTCTGGCGATGAATTTGTTAGTTTTCCTCTTGGGAATTCAGGATTGCTTCGTCAAATGGAGTCAGCTGCAAATCGTGTTTTTGTAGAATATGCCGAACTCTATTACGGAAAAGAATCAACGGCTTCAGTGTACACATGGGAATGTGACCCGGCCAACAAAGAAAGCAAGATGGGCCTTGCCGTGATGATAAAGCACCGTGCCAAATCCTCAAATGGCAATCGTCCCGGTCATTTCTCTTTACGCGAAAAGCGTGGCGTTTGGCAAAGTGCTCATGTGGGTATTGTAGACATTTCATCCGGCACATATTATTTTCAGAGTTCATTTTATATGGATTCGTTTGTCCCACTTGGCTCATTGCCAAATAAACCAGATGCTGTGGGAAGGTTCAACGGGAGTGTTGCTTCGAGACTGTTTAGCTTTGAGTCTCGTGAAGCGATTGCCACGCCAGACCTTGACGGCCTGATAGCCTCCATTGGGGAACAGGTGCAGTTGACGGAAAACAGTTTTTACGGCCGTCTTTTTGAGATTTATTTTAGCAAGGCGCAGTTTGTTGCAGAGGGCATGCGGGTCATTCCCCAATCAACCTTGTTTTTACCACCCCAAAGCCGCTGGAAGGAACAACCCGCAGCATCCAGGGTAACTGAGGAGAGTTCACAACAGGCAGATGTTCACGTTATCGGGCAAACATCTGACACAAATGCGATGACGCACTCTGGAGCTGTTCGACTGGATTACCAGTTCGCTGAAGGGAGCGAGGAAATAGCGTCACCTTTGCCGAAGAGAAAGGAGAGCACTGTCGTCGATGACTGGAAAGAGGCGTACGACGATGATGGAAACCGCTATTACTACAACGAAGTCACTGGAGAAACCGCATGGGAAAAGCCAGACGTGGGGAATCTTGTCTTGGATATCTTACGGAATTTACACTTAATGCACTCGCCGGACAAATACTACCGGCGACTAAAGAAATACTTTAGGCAGTACGAAACGGAACTCAATATCGATACCTTTTATTCACTGACGAATGAAGACCAGATGCTTGAGCTCGATGATGGTTCAACGATGACTGCGTTGGAGTATATCGTCCCTGCCTACGGTGACAGGCGAAAGATTGAGGTGTATATTGCACAGAATGCTAGAAAAGATGCATGATGCCTTGCTTGCTTCAACATTCACAAGAATATTTCTTGTCCGTCCTGATTTGTCACATCTTGCAAACCAAAAAAGGAGAAAAAAAAAGCTTCTTATGCACCCCTGTATAGCAATCCATAGACTTCATGTGATTTCCCACTGTATTATTTCTACTTCACATTAATTTTTTTTTTTTTTACTTTTTCGGTTAGAAATGAACAATATTAACGTTTTGATTTCCGCTGTGCAGCCCGAAGTCGTGCAGTGGCGCCGCCACATTCACGAGAACCCCTATCTGGCCTACGAGGAGCAGCCGACCGCAGACTACGTGGCGAGCGTCCTCACGGCAATGCCGGCACCCCTTGAGATACGGCGACTGACGCCGAACAGTGTTATCGCTGACCTTCGCGGAGGAGCCGGAGAGGGACCCATTTACGCACTGCGTGCTGACATGGATGCGCTTCCATTGCAGGAAGAGAGTGGCGAGCCTTTTAGCTCGAAGCGGCCTGGCGTGATGCATGCTTGTGGTCACGATGCGCACACAGCTATGCTGCTTGGAGCCGTGAAGGTTCTGTGCCAAGTGAAGGACAAGATTCGTGGCACAGTTCGGTTCATCTTCCAGCACGCGGAGGAGGTGATTCCGAGTGGTGCAAAGCAGCTTGTACAACTTGGTGTGCTTGAGGGCGTCAAAATGATTTTTGGATTACATGTCTCAGCAGCCACACCAGCTGGCAAAATATCTACTCGTTCTGGTACACTTTACGGGGCCTGTAATGACTTTGACATTGTGATCAAGGGTGCTGGTGGGCATGCATCCCAGCCGGAGCTGTGTACCGACCCCATCGTGATTGCCGCCGAAGTGGTCATGGGCCTGCAGACAATTGTGTCGCGTCGCATCGGGGCCCTGACGGCTCCAGTTCTCAGCGTGACGACATTTCACGGTGGGACGGGAAGCTACAACGTGATACCCGACACGGCGCACCTGCGGGGTACGCTGCGTTGCCTGGACCGTGATGTCCAGGCACTTGTCCCTGGTTTGATGGAAGAGATTGTTGCCGGGATTGCGAAGGCGCATGGTGCTCAGCATGAGATCAGTTGGCTGGAGCCCAACATTGTAACGTACAACGACCACGAGGCATTTTTGATTGCGAAGGATGTTATATCAGAATTTGTTGGAGCGGACGCGTTTCTTGAGAAGGAGCACCCTTTGTTTGGCGTTGAAGATTTTTCCGAATACGTTGCCAAGACACCGGGTTGTTTTTGCCTTTTGGGAATCCGCGACGAGGCTTCTGGCTCGGTTTACACGGAGCACAGTTCTAAGTTCAAGGTGTACGAAAAGGCTCTTGAACATGGCGTGCAAATGCATGTGGGTTTCATTGTGAAGCTTTTGATGCGGAGTAGTTAGATAGTAACTATATTTATGACGTTATGCTTTGAAAAAATAACTGTTAACAAGGGGAAATGAATTATTATTTTTTATGTGGATTTTGCAAATTCTGTGACGGAGGAAGAGTAAATGATGTTGTTGTTGGTGTTTTTTGGTTGAATGATAATTTCAGCTCAGTATATAAAGTTGAATTTTGTGGAGAGTTAATTCTTTCTTCTCTCTCTCCTTCTTTCTCTCTCTTTTTTTTTTTTTTTTTGTCCCAAGAATTCCAGAACTGCGTAGTCATCTCCGGCACGGCAACTGGCGGCTGGGATGGGCAGTTAATGACACATTACACTTGCAGAAGGATGCGGAAGATAAAACAGCCAGAATTTCTGCAGTGGCGTCGCCACATTCACGAGAACCCCTATCTGGCCTACGAGGAGCAGCCGACCGCAGACTACGTGGCGAGCGTCCTCACGGCAATGCCGGCACCCCTTGAGATACGGCGACTGACGCCGAACAGTGTTATCGCTGACCTCCGCGGAGGAGCCGGAGAGGGACCCATTTACGCACTGCGTGCTGACATGGATGCGCTTCCATTGCAGGAAGAGAGCGGCGAGCCTTTTAGCTCGAAGCGGCCTGGTTGGACTAAGGAACGTTAAGATGTCTGCTGAACGTCCGTTCCCTTTCACATAATTCTATTTGGATAGAAGTGTGAGCGCAACTATGGAGTCCCAACGTTTCCTTGACAACATTTGGTATTTGTTATAGTTTTTTTTTTTTTTTGTTGTTGTTGTTGTCAAAATAAAAATCATCCTGCATTAATACTATTGGCGTACAGAAGTTTTAAACTACCCTGAGGGAGCAAACTTTGACGGCATCATTTACTCTTGCGTGCGCTTCCACTTTTTGCTGGGTTGGACTGTCTTTGAGGGTAGAATGGGGATTTGTTACCCCCTTTCAGAAGAAACACATTTAGGATTGGTCAGCTGGCGTGGCATTAAGATTGAGTTTGAGAAATCCCTCTTTTCATGACGGTGTTCAAAGTTCATGTGAAACGATATACTTGTTCTTCCATTCTCATTGGCACATCGTGTGACATGTTTCTATTGAACAGTTGGAGGGGGCGTTTGAATGGCACTTGTGCTCTGCCAAGCGCACCATAAGAACGGAATATCATCTCTTAAAAGGGCAACTACTTGGCCGACACGCCAGTCTCGTTTTTTCCTCACTTTTTCCACTGAGTTATTTCTTTAAAATTAAGTTCCTTGCTTCTTTCCCTGTCTATTTTTTTTTTTTTTTTTCACATTGTGAGAAAGTTTTTTTGAAAAAAAGGTGAGGAATCTATGTCGTTTATTAACGTTTTGATTTCCGCTGTGCAGCCCGAAGTCGTGCAGTGGCGCCGCCACATTCACGAGAACCCCTATCTGGCCTACGAGGAGCAGCCGACCGCAGACTACGTGGCGAGCGTCCTCACGGCAATGCCGGCACCCCTTGAGATACGGCGACTGACGCTGAACAGTGTTATCGCTGACCTCCGCGGAGGAGCCGGAGAGGGACCCATTTACGCACTGCGTGCTGACATGGATGCGCTTCCATTGCAGGAAGAGAGTGGCGAGCCTTTTAGCTCGAAGCGGCCTGGCGTGATGCATGCTTGTGGTCACGATGCGCACACAGCTATGCTGCTTGGAGCCGTGAAGGTTCTGTGCCAAGTGAAGGACAAGATTCGTGGCACAGTTCGGTTTATCTTCCAGCACGCGGAGGAGGTGATTCCGAGTGGTGCAAAGCAGCTTGTACAACTTGGTGTGCTTGAGGGCGTTAAAATGATTTTTGGACTTTCTGTTGATGTCACGAAACCGTTAGGCACGGTTTTTTGTAAAAGTGGCGTGATGATGGGGGCCTGTAATGACTTTGACATTGTGATCAAGGGTGCTGGTGGGCATGCATCCCAGCCGGAGCTGTGTACCGACCCCATCGTGATTGCCGCCGAAGTGGTCATGGGCCTGCAGACAATTGTGTCGCGTCGCATCGGGGCCCTGACGGCTCCAGTTCTCAGCGTGACGACATTTCACGGTGGGACGGGAAGCTACAACGTGATACCCGACACGGCGCACCTGCGGGGTACGCTGCGTTGCCTGGACCGTGATGTCCAGGCACTTGTCCCTGGTTTGATGGAAGAGATTGTTGCCGGGATTGCGAAGGCGCATGGTGCTCAGCATGAGATCAGTTGGCTGGAGCCCAACATTGTAACGTACAACGACCCGGCGGCTTATGAAATTGTTAGGAATGTTGCGCAGCGGGTAATTGATGGGGTTTCTTTTGTTGACCTCTCTACTGCAATGATGGGTGTGGCGGACTTTGCGGAGTATGGGTCTGTAGTACCGGGATGTTTGTTCTGGCTTGGAGTGGGGGATAGTAGTAAGAGCTCCATAAGTAACCACAACTACAGCTCACGGTATTGCATGAGTGAGACGGCCATGGAAGGGGGTGTGAAAATGCATGTGGGGTTGGTGGCCGCACTGTCTATGTCGGATGGAACTTTTGCTGGTTAGGGCGTTTTATTCCGTTCCTTCTCTTAATTTCATCCGCATAGCTTCATTCAGGGGAAGTGTTTTTTTTTTCTCTTTCTCTCTCTCTCTCTGTGTGTGTGGTGTGTCTATTTTTCCGGCTGTACTTTGACCGCATCCATTCTTTTTTTTTTTTTCTGTTGTTGGGCGATTGGTTTGCTGTTGAATAAATGAACTTAATAAAATGAACGCATGGTTTCACCGTGCTGCTGTGCAGTGATGGTGCCTGTTTCTTGTAGGAGCCGCTGGGGGTGATTGGGTGACCTTATAGGATTACGTAGATGATGTCGCGACTGGTGGAAATTCTCCGTTATTTATTTATTGAGTGATTTTTTAAGAGTAAACGTTGGAAGACAGAAAGAGTGCAGTTGTTTCTTTTGCCCCGCTCTTACGGCGACGGCTCTTCACGAGGAGGGGCCCCTGTCGGTTACGGGGGCCTTTTAATGACTGCCACTTCGAGGGTTAACAGAGACTCCGGTTATCATGAGTATATTTTCTTGGGAATTGTTTGTGGATGGGTGTGGGATGACTTTTCATTGAGTCGTGGGGGGATGTTGGATGCGGCGAAAGAAACTGTCTTTTTTTTTTTTTTTTGTCTTGCTCTCCCTACAGGAATAAGGGAAAAGGCCTCGGCCAGACGCGCATTTTGTTTTGTTTAGTGCCGTTGTGACTCATGTCGTTGGTGATGCGGGCACTTTTTTCTTCCACCCTTGCATGTCGAGGCGGAGGTTTTTCAAACTCCATTGTGCGCCGCCTTTTGCTGTCGGAGGCGTCGATGAGGTGTGCCTTTCGCCGCACCTGTGCCGCAGAGGGTCTGGGAGTACACGAGGGCGTGGCGGAAGATGTGTTGGCGTCTGCCATTGTCGATCCCGGGGTGCTTTCACTGGAGGACGCCAAAGCCCAGTTGCGATCATCGCCTGCCTTCAGAATTGACGCTGGTGTCGTTTACATGGCAACGGAGGGTGAGTGCATGAGAAGCCAGGTGGAGTCGATGCTCCTAAAAGTGGCAACGAAAATCCCCTTGTCTGGGGTGAGTGGCTCGCAACTGCAGGCAATACTGGAGGATGAGGTGCCTCACTTTCAGCCTTCTCTTGTGGGGGCGCTTTCCTTCAAGGATGCGATTCAAAGCTACCCCCATATATTTCTTGTGGAGTCGGACCCCACAGGGAAGTGGAAAGTCAAGTCGGCCACCAGTGCACCTCCCGATGCACCCACGGGTAAGCGTGGGCCGCTTGGTATCGTCGATTTCTGCCGTAGGCGAGCGCTGATGGGCCATCACGGTGCCTACACACCACTGCGTCTCGCCATGCAAAAAACGGGTATCACAGAGAAGGATGTACTGAAACAGCTGGTAACGAATGCGGAGGTCTCAAATGTCCTGCAAGTGAAGCTGTCAGTGCGATTAAAGCCGAAGCGGCTTCCCATCAATGCCTTTTGTTTTATCGACGGGGATGAAATTGGCCCTAACGTCGTGGAATCCATGGGGAAGGGATTAACTCTTTCGAGTAAATCCACTTACGTTGTGGCACGGCACCCGATTTTCCCGAAGCACAGCAACAATGACATCATTGTGCCGGAGGATATGCCCACCTATGCTGTTTTGGAGTCGAAGGCCAGGGAACTCATGCTTCGTCAGACTGTTATTCTTCAAGACGTCATATACATGTGCTCGTCCAGCCAGTTTACATTGTATGCGGAACATGTGGCCAAAATGAATGTGTTCCCAGATGCAGACGTGTACGTGTGTTGTCCGAGTAGGGTAAAGCTTGTGGCTGAAAAGCAGCACGTTCCATTGTGAGGGCATCTTTGTGCAACGCAACCTTTTAAAATTATTTGTGTTTGTTTATTTATTTATTTATTTTTTTGTTTTGTGGTGTGTGAAGCGGCGGGGGAGGAAATTTTGCGAGTTCTCTTCTTTGGCTGTTTTTGCCACTGCTCCATTTTTTTCTTTTGTCATACGGGCCGGTCTGGGACTTTTTTTTTTTTTTTTCACCTCTCCAAGAAATATTTTATTAAATCAACGATGCTGCGGCGCCACTTTCAGCTGTTTCTTCGTAGGACGCCCCTGTGGCTTGCTGACGATGGTTCTTCTCTTTTTGAGCGTTACACAGAAATTGAGAACTCTAACGAACGACGGATGAGTGCATTGAAGGCATGCGGAATGTTTGACGATGAGTGGATTGCCACAGAGAAGGTTCATGGCGCCAACTTTGGGATTTACTCCATCGAAGGTGAGAAAACCATACGTTACGCGAAAAGAAGCGGTATTATGCATCCCACTGAACATTTCTTTGGCTATCATATGTTGGTACCGCAGTTGCAGCAGTACATCACCGTCACCCGTGAGATGCTCTGTGACAAGTTGCAGAAGAAGTTGCACACTGTTCTTATAAACGGCGAGTTGTTTGGGGGGAAGTACGACCACCCAAGTCTTCAAAAGACGCGAAAAACGGTTATGGTGGCAGGTAAACCCCGGACAATTAGTGCCGTGCAGACGGATTCGTTTCCTCAGTACAGTCCTGATCTTCATTTTTATGCGTTTGACATCAAATATAAGGAGACTAACGAGGCTGAATACGTTACTCTCACATTTGATGATGCAACTGAATTGTTTAAGAGGGTTCCTGGATTACTGTATGCGAGGGCCATCATTCGGGGCCCAATGTCGAAGGTGGCGGCCTTTGATGTGGAGCACTTTGTCACCACCATTCCGCCGCTTGTCGGGATGGGCAACTACCCATTAAAGGGTAATTGGGCAGAGGGACTTGTAGTGAAGCATGCAAAGCGAGGCACGCCTGGCTTTGACCCCAAGGGATTGACCATTTTGAAGTTTAAGTGCACCGCCTTTCAGGAGATCTCGACAGACCGGCGTCAAGGGCCTCGCGTTGACGAAATGGAGAGTGTGCGACGGGATTCAATTAGCCGCTCGGGTATTCAGCTCCCTGCTCTGGAAAGCATCATACATGATCCAGTGCAGCTGGAAGCATCGAAGTTTCTTCTGGATCACATCTGTGAGAATCGCCTGAACGCCGTCCTGTCAAAGATTGGAACGGACCCCTTTGAGAAGCAGGAGATGACGCCGGATGATCTGGCGACACTGTTGGCCAAGGATGCCTTGAAGGATTTTCTCAAGGAGGCGGAACCTGCCATAGTGAACACGCCCATTCTCACTCGCAGGGACATGGCAAGATACGTTCTATTTGAATCGAGGCAGCTGGTCTGTTCACGTTGGAAGGCGATTTTACAACGACAGACGGCCGATGTTGTTGAGTGAAGGGGTCATTGGGCAGAAGGTTAACGTATTATCAAGAGTGAGTTGTGGTGGTGCGGCGTATAACCGTCCTGCATCAATATTATTTGCGACTCTACGTCTTTTTTTTTTTTGTTCCCCACAAAAATCATAGACCGATACGGCTTCATTTTTATTTTTATTTTTATTTGTAGGAAGGTTGGTGCAGTGTTAGGGGTGGGTGGGGGTGCAGGAAGGGAGGGGGTTCATGCGTGTGCTTTACGGCGCTGCGTACGCAAGGCAGCGGCTGGCACTGGCGAGGCGGGTTCAACGCCGTGAGGTGTCACGTGAAGTGGTGCTCGCACGATGGAATGCTCGTCCCATAGACCCGAAGGACGACAACGCGACTGGTGTAGTGGGCAAAGGTATGAAGTTTGCATCTTCCATTATTGGGGGTGGCGGCGGTGCGTGGGGAAAACCCCGTGCGAGTGTTGCTTCGACGATTGCGGATGTCAGTTGGGATCTTTGTGAGCGTCTGGACTTCTACGTGCAGTACAGTGTGCCTTCCAACTGGTTGGTAGCGGAACGAGTTGGCGAGAATAGCATTGCGATTCAATGTAGACCACCGCTGACTGGCTGCGGCGCGGAGCAGCCAACGGCCCACGGTTTTTCGCTTAATTGTTTTGCCTACAAACAGAAGGTGAAGGAGCCGAACAGTGAAAAGCTTCTCCATCTGTTTTTGCAGCGATTTAATGCGTCCGTCTCCAACTCCCTGGAGGTTGTTTCGGAGTCCTCCGGGCGCAGCGGCGTTGCCGCGGGTGCCGATTCTTCTGCGCGTAGCATCAGCGAGTCCCTGGCGAGTCGACTGAACTGCGCCGTGGCGGAAATAACTTTTACGCCCGCCGCTGGGGAGCCCTTGGCCCATGGACTCTGTCGGGCATTCTACAACTCGAACCACAAATTTCACTACATTGCTGTTGTTGCGGTGCCAGGTGATGAGTTTGAGGTGTCAAAGGACCTTCTCACACACGCGTTGCTGGCGGTCGTGGAGGGACGGGTGGAGGCAGCGGCAAAACGCACTTAAAGGCAGACAAACGCAGCAGCAAAATAAAGATTAAAAAAAAAAAGGGGCCTTTGTTTGGCCGAGTCTGACGGCCGGAGTATATTTTTAGCTGTTTTCTTTCGCTCCCTGCATGACGTACACAAATGAGCAACCTAAGTTGTTTTTTTAATTATTTTTATTTATTTAGTATTATTGTTATTATTATTATTATTATTATTTTGGTGGTGGTGGTGGCGCATCTCACTGGCTGTTTCTCTCGTTAATTTTTTCATTGCAGCAGCTACGAGGAGCAGCAGAAGCAGCAGCAGCATCAGGTAAGGATGGGAGATGAGGGCAGCGGGAGTAAAGAAGAGTCATCGGGGGTTCCTGACGACCGCGTCATTCTCCACGAGCACAGCAACGAGAACCTGTTGAAGTTCGACACGCACGACAAGTACTCAACGATTTCGGCCATAAAGAAAATGATAATGAAGAGCTTGCCGCCACCCAAGACGAATGCGCCTCCCCAACCGCTTTTTAACGGATTGCTGCGCATGGGCAAAAACCCGAATACGCCGCTCCTTTTCATGGCCTTCCGGACGCCCGAGGAAAGTACCGCAGCCGCCGAACTCCTGCGAGGCGTGTTTTTCCGCGGGAGAAAACAGTGGCAGGAGCTGCCGGTGACACAGCGAGACCTGCAGCTGACTCACAAAGGCAGCAGCCGGAAGCGATCGCGTGGTGGGGAGGTATTGGGTCAGAGCAAAGTTGCCCAATGGGAGGGCCTTGCCATGGAGGAGCAGCTTGCTCGAAAGAAGGTGCATTGTTTACGGGTGATGGAAGCCATTGCACCACCAGGGGATAAATATGCGGAACTATTTGCCGGTGTACACGTCAGTCCAGAGTTGACTGGCTATCGCAACCACGTTCAACTTTCATTTGGCTACTCAGAAACCGGGGAGCCATCGATTGGGTTTCTTAAGGGCGCCATGATTGAAGGAACTTGCGCCATTCATTCGGCTCTCGGGAAAGACATTGTCACAATGAACCCACTAGCGAAGCAGGTGGCTGAGGCTGTGATGTCCGTTTGTCATTTATTTTTGTTGCCCGAGAAGGGGGGTCTGATGGTTTTCGATAAGGTGAAGCAGCAAGGGTTCTGGCGCAAACTGCAGGTGCGTCACAACGTACTTGGCGAAGTTATGGTGGATATGGAGCTGGACATTGACAGCGCTGAAGCATCCGTGGTGAATGAGGTGAAGATGCACCTCACAAACACGCTATTTAGCGAAGGGTTGCGGGCAAAACTAAGGATGATCTCTGGGAAGGAAACTGCATCCGTTGTGAGTGCCCAGTATCATCATGGCACAGGAATCAGCTCTTCTTCAGCCGATGAGCCACGTCATATTCTTTTTGGGACCCCGACACTCACGGAGCATCTCTTAGGCCTTCGGTTTGAACTAAGCCCTACTTCCTTTTTTCAGGTAAACACCTCAGGAATGGAGCTACTGCTGTGCGAGACGGCAAAGGTTGCGGCGCTGGGTCCAAAAACAACGCTTTTGGACCTCTGTTGTGGTACAGGCGTCATAGGCCTCACACTCGCCAAGCACGTGAAGCGGGTAATTGGAATAGAACTGGTTGAGTCCGCAGTGAATGACGCGAGGCAGAATGCCAAACGCAACGATATAGCCAACGTTACTTTTTGCAGCGGTCGTGTGGAGCACCTTCTGCCGGATATAATCAATTCTCTACCAGAGGAGGATAAGACCGACATTGTGGCAATTTTGGATCCCCCCCGTGCCGGAGTTACGCCAACGGTGTTGAAGTGGATTCGTGGTACCCCAACCATCCGGCGTGTGGTGTACATCTCTTGTGAGCAGAAGGCACTTGAGCGGGACTGCCCATCTTTGACGAAGTCTACCACGAAAGCATACCGAGGACTGCCCTTTGAATTGGTGGCGAGTTTTGCGGTAGACCTCTTTCCTCACACACCACACGTTGAGATGGTGGCGGTATTGGCTCGTCTTCAAGAAGAGTCGGTAAGTGGAGAGTGAAGACGTCTCCAATTTTTTGTTTTATCCTTTGAATTTACTCGAATGAATGTTCTTTTATTATTATTCTTATTATTATTATTGCTCTTGTTGTTGGTGTTGTGCCGAGGCGACGCCGCCATCACGCACGGCGATCTTGAGTTTGTGGAATTTCATGGCTTTTGCTAATATTTATTTATTTATTTATTTATTTCCCGGAAGTGTTCTTCATTTTTCGTGTTAGTTTGACGTCTCTGAATAGTGGCGGTAGAGAAGGTGATGTCCGCGTGGGCCTCCGGAAGTCTGGCAGAGAAGCTAAAGCAGCAAAAGCTGGCCGCTGCGAACGGTATTGGGACCGCTTTACTGCCTGCCGTTCCCACGGGCTCGGCCACAGTGAGCGCTAGCGGCCAAAAGAAGAACAACAACGCTTCACCCCCCACCCCGCCTGCGGTGCAGGAAGATGTAGTGCCTAACGAGAACAGAAAACCGATAGCCTCCAGCGCCTGCGAAAAGCCGCAGCTGCACGAAGCGGCGAAACCCGTCCATCTTGGTCCCATTTCTTTTCCCCATGAATTGGCGAAGCTGGTGTCGTCGGAGTTTAACTTTGTCGGTGTTGTGACGAAGGCCCCGATGGCGTTGGGGGAGACCAGAGAACCTTTAACGCCCAACTTCCCGGAGAAGAAATATCCGCCACGAGCGTTTGGTTCAAGAAATGCATATCACGAAACCTCACAGATGGGTAACACTGGCCATGCCTACCCGGTACAACAAAATCATCACTATTATTATTATCATCATCACGAGCAGCAGCAGCAGTATCAGGATCAGGATCAGGCACAGAACCAATACTATTTTTATAAATATCAGACACCGCAACAGCAACAACGTTCCATGCAACAAGGCATGACGGGGCAAGCTTATCACAGTGCATACAGCTCATTACCGTATAACATGAGCCCGCATGCCATGCCATACCACCCACGCATGTACAACAGGTATCCGGGCATGAATATGGGTATGGGTATTTACGGTGGGATGCAAGGATATGGACGTTTCTCGCTTCAGGGAAGACCTGCATACTACCCACCACCGCAAAACCATATGGACCCGTACATGTCGCCGCATCAGCAGTAGACTTGCGCAATGCTTGTATTCTGCTGCATATTGGTGGAACTGATGGCGTCATCTGGCAAACTTGTACGTGCTTCTCTTTCATGTTTTTTTTTTTTTTTTTTTTTGAATTCAGAGAAGAAGGACGTGCGTGTCTGTGGATACTCGGAGAATAACTCCAGAAGGAATATATAAAATTTAAAAAAAAAAAGAGAGATGTTTGCGTATGGTGCGCGCAGGACAGCATGTGTTGTTTTGTGTATCCATGTTTACATGCTTTTGTTGAGTTTTTTTTTTTTTTCTTTTTTTTTTTTTTTTTTTTTTTTTTTTTTACAATCACGTGGGGCTATATTATTGAGCTGGAGACACGTCGCCGCACTATTTCCCGTTTTCCTTTTTAAAGAGCAAATGAATAATCATGCTGTAATAACCACTAAAGGGAAGTCCAAGCTTGCTGGCTGAGGTCCTCCCAAGAGAGAGAGAGAGAAAGAGACGACGAAAGTAATATTAAAGAAAAAAGAAAAAAAAAAAAAATAATTAAATAAATAGACGAGACGAGGAGGAATTGCATCTTTATTTTTTATGGCTTTTTCTGTTGCGGTGCTTGACTTTGAATCTTCACTTATTTTATTCTGCTTAACACGTATGCGCGTTGCGTTTAAACACGCATCTTGGAGGAAGAAGAAAGGTGTGCCAGGTTGTATTTACAAATGTCTGCAGAGAGCCTCTACCGCGAGGCGGAAAGTAAGATCAACAGATTTTTTTTTAAGGATCCTGAAAGGGCGATGGAGCTGTTTGAATCGGCAGCCGCCCGATTCAAGACTGAGAAAGACTACAACCGTGCCGGGGAGGCGTACATGCGGGCCGGCGACTGCGCGGTAAAGTGCAGGGACAAGCTTTCCGCCAGTCGAGCGTACACTAACGCCGTGAACGCGTACAAGAAAACCGACATGAAAATGGCCGCAAAATTGATGGAAGTTGCCGTCAATCTACAGATTGACAACAACACGTTAAATGGTGCCGCGAGGTTGGAAAAGGAATTTGCAGAGGCTCTCTGCGAAACTGGTCAGCCGTTGGATGCAATTCAGCATTATGAGAAAGCCATACAATACTTCAGCGCGGATGATATGAACAGTCAAGTAAAAGCCTGCACATCTGCCATAGCAAGAATATATGGTGAAAATGACATTTTTGACAAGGCCTTGTCACTCTATGAGCGACTGGGCAACATGAGTGTCGATGGTCCGCTGCGCTATGAGGCAAAGGAGTTCTTTGTGCGCGCAATGCTCTGCCGCCTTGCTGCCGTGACAGATGATAACCGTATTGAAAAAAGTGCCGAGGCGTTGGAAGCGTTGGAAACGTACATGATACGCGACAAGTATTTGAAGAACACTCGCGAGGCCGAATTCCTCCAGATGTGCACCGAAGCGGTGGAGGGAGCCGATTTGGAGAAGTTTGAAACGGCCATCTCCCTTCTCGACGAGCTCCGAATGCTGGATGAGTGGAAGACCCACGTTTTGCTTGTCGTCAAGAAGAATATGGAGAGTATTCGGTGAGGTGTATTTCCCGTGTGTGCAGCGACGATATATATATATATTTTTTTTTTTCATATTTCTGCGACTGTGTTCCCTCAGGCACTGTGAGGGAAAATAGTGGGGGTTTTCCAGAGGTGCAAAGAAATTTTTATTTTTTTGCCTTTTGCCATTTTTTTCTTTTTTGTTGTTGTTGTTTTTCGTGGATAGGAGGGGCAGGAGTAGCGCCGCCCCACCCTTTTGCAGGCAACTTGTGTGAACCGCAACCGATGCGGCCCGCGGCCGTCGGTGAGATTCTCATTCAGAAGGCGAATTGCCCGCTGTCGGACGAGGCGGAGCTCCACGCCGTACTCACAGACGCCAGGGCGGCCGCGGCGGCGAGGAATGTATTATTATTTGGGGATGCGTGGCGCACTGTGCGTCTGCTTGCCTCCGCCGCTCGCTGCACACTGCAAGCGGGGCGCGGGGACTTTGCGCTACCACTCATCACGACCGCTTTTGATCTCTGCCCTGAGCCGTTTCGGCGGTTGGCGTCATTGCAGAATGAGAAGGAGGCGGTGGAAGGATGTGCTCTGGTGCGTTCCATGCTCACCGCGGCTAAATCGGAAGGTGTTGGACAGGACGTGCCAGCTGTTGTTTGCACCGCGTTGATGGTGTGGCACGGCGCCCTCGCGTCTACGGCATCGACAAGTAGTTGCCCGCGTGGTTTTTTCCGATTTTCCCACGTTGCTGGCGAAATCCTTACAGAGCTTGCAATGGACGCATCAACCC